TTGTCATGTCTTATAGGACATTGCAGAGATTGGCTGTTGACTCCTTAATTCAACTTGTAAGATTAGTGAGCATCCAAAGTCCCCAAAGAGAAAGAGCAAACTAAGAAAACAACAAAGAGGTAAACAAATGAGTATGTTGATAGTATATGTGCAGATGTATTTGTCCATATTGTGTGTGCATGTATGGGTGGGTGTGTACATATGTTACACGTATTATTTTAAGTGTACACCCTTTTATGTACACTCGTTTTAAAAGCATTTAACGGATGTAGGAGCATGAATCCCATTGATTTTCAAATTACATGATACACTTAATGCTAGCACTCATTTACATCCCACTCAAAGGCAACCAAAGTTTGGCCAATAAACCCCTGCAACACATAACTGCAGTCCAAGGAAGAAACTACAATTTTTTTGTTGCACACACTTAGAAAAAATAAATCAAATGTTATATCCACACATAGATACACAAGCATTCACACATACTTGTATGTATATACAAAGCATATATTTACACTGACAGTAGTTATTTGAAATGGAACGTTTCACAGAGCTGGAAACAGTCACAAATACAAAAAAGGTTGAACAAAAAATGTCAGGAGAAACATATGAATTATAGCTAGGAAGTATTTCACAACGTATCCCACACTTAAGATGAAAAGCTGCACTGATTCAAAAACTAACCTGGCTTAGGAAGGGAATTAGAAAGAGTAAATGAGAAATGCAACATGGGGAGTGAATGGTAGCAAACACAAATAAGGAATACGTTGTAGAAAACTGCTGTGGAAAACAAAAGAATACAAGGAGATAGTCACAGACAGCTAAGGTCCTAAGAAGGCAGTATTTTAAAATCTATCAAAACCACAAAAAATAATCCCCAAACTCTTAATTACTAGAGAGAAATGACAGAATTGTCTAAGATAATCAGAAAAGACAAATACTCTATTCCGTATCAAGGCAAAGCTACACAAGAAATTCCTATGATCTAATGACACAGTTGTTCTCATTTCAACACAAGTTAAGGAGAATGTCAAATGATATGATGGTAAACATTTTTGAATCAGCAGTCCAGATACATTACATTTAAAAGTTTTAAGAGAGGAGGGATCCTATCTGAACTACGTTTTGGTTTTAGTAAGTCTTGAGTACTATGCTTCTCTGGTTCCAGAAAGAACCAAAGTACATAAGATGACTGCCAGCTTTACCAAAAAAGCAGTAACTGAAAAATACTTGGGGGTTATGATGAGTAATCAGTTGGACCAGGGCTCTATTGGGATGGTAAGGCTACAAGATAAATCCAATTCTTAGACATGAGATGAAGCTGCTAAACAGAAAGCTGTACATGCAGGCAGAAGAAAATATAACTACCAGAGGATGCTAGATCCTTATCCTCACATAAGCAGGTTCGTTTCTATACGACAGCTAAAACCAAATGTACCAGTACAATCAGAGCCTATGCTGATTTGTGCCTGATGAGAGTATATTCTATAAAATATAAGTGGCTATACATGTGCCAAATACACGGAGAGCCAGGTTTCCTTCTTTGATCTACGATATGTAGAATAGTTAACTGAGGACCAATTTAGTGTTATTTTAAACTATCATTTATGTAACATAGTTAATTAAGGATCAATTTTACGTTATTTTAAGGTCTTTGTTACAATGCTGCACCCCCTCAACGACAATGCTGAAAGACTGATGAATGTAACATAAACAGAGTAAGTATGTGCATTCTGTAAAATGAAGTACAGAAGTTGTGGAAATATTTCAAGTATTTGGAACTCACCAGAGTATTTGCTTAACATGCTATATATATTTTTCCAAACTTTCCCTCATGTATTACAAAAATCTTTCTTCATGTATGTCTGGAAAAAACCTCCACTGTTTTTATAAAATATTAACTTTTCACCTGATTTCTTGGATGTTTGCTGTTCTAATGCTTGACTGAATTGTGATTGATTAGATGAAAGCTTGGTTTTGCTGATACTGGAATACAAGGCTGCCTTTTGGCTTGTCTCTTGAGGGTCTAATCTTGCTCTTTTAGATTGGACTTCTTCAGTTTCGGTAAACTGTGAAAGCACACTGGTCTTTGTATTTCCTTCTTCCCCATTTTTTTCAGTGCCTTCTGTTCCACTTACTCCAGCAAACACTCCTTCACCTGTTGGTTTAACAAAAGAACTTAAGAGTATCTATGGCACAATACTCAGTAATTTCAGAAATTATAAATGATATTAAAATGAATGTCAAAATGACCACCTAGTCTAGGTTAAAAAATGCCTGCGGTAACTCAGTTTTTGAAAATACTTTAACAGAATAAAGCCTTTATCCACTATTCACCGTATGTTAATGTACTGAGATTGAATCCAAAACAATTCAAAGATTCTTTTTTGAAAATATGATCTTTATTGATTCTTAGGTATTTAAAAAATCAGGTACTTAAGAATGTCATTCTGATTATTATAATGACCATTGCAGCCACATTTTGGTAACTACAACAGGGACTGGGATATAAAACAGCTCTCAAAAATACAAAGCAAAAATTACTAACTAGTTAGTCTGGCATAGTAGACTGTACCACAACACACTCCATGCATCTGCTATTTATTCATGGCAAAATACATTCTCTGGAGACCAACAGCTGGGGTTTTAATAAAATACACAGAATGCTTACAACAAACTCATAAAATTTTCAAACAAAATATGGCACCTGTTCTCTGGGAGGTTTCTTTCTGCATATTTTCCACAATCTGAAATGAATAAGGAGACTTGCTGTCTGCATTAACACCAAAACACAAATCTGCTTTTGAGTTGGTCTCCTGAAGATCTTCTCTTTTTTGTCTGATTTGAAGCATGTCTTTTTCACGGAGTTGTAAAGCTATAGGCTTGATCTCTGAACTACGAGCATTTTCAGTTTCAATGTGACATTCTTCAACACTTTCTTCTGCATTAAGCAGCACCCTCCCTTCTTTCTCTGGTTGTGAAGCCTTTTGTTCAATGGTGTTCAGTACACCACCGGTAGAATTATAAGGACTTCTAGAAACACCTTCTCCGTTAGTAGCTGCTAAAAGCTCATGTGCTGACAGTGTTTCTGTATTTGTTTGAAATGTCTGTTCAGTGCAGCCAGTTCCATCTTCAGATACATTAGTATAAACATTTTGCACCTTATTTACAATAGTCTGTTGCAGTATGTCTCCGCAGTCTGAATCCGTAAGATTTGTACACACTGGTTCTGACTCATCTGTCTGTAAGGAAACCTATCAAACAAAGGCAAAAAGAGTTTTAAACTTAGAGCCGATCCATTAATTTTGTTTCCATCAACAACAGATTTAACTTGATTTGTCAAGTTTTGGAAAGAAATGATTCGTTCTGAAGTTATTCTCATCTCAGTATTTAGATTCCTGTCACTCAAACTGCTACTGTTACTCTGCTTAAGACTATGTTGATCACTGTCATAACTCTTGACTTCCTGTTGTAACTTTAAAACAGATACGTTGTGAGAGGAAGTCAAAGCAAGTAAGTATTGACCAAGAATCAAGTTCTGTTACATCAGTAGTCTGAGAATACAGTGCAGACACTTTTTCTCCAGAAACCACTCATGTGGGACAACGCAAACTGGTGATCTCCTCCCTTGTTACAACAGAAATTTCTAAGCTTCCACCAGTTCTGCCCTTTTCTTCTGTAAATGGATTTTCGCTGTTAACACTGTTGAATTCATGTTTCTGTTGCAATTCTGTCTGACTTAACTCAGTTTTCCTACAACACTTACTAGGAAGCAACAGTTATCATTAGAAACGGCAACAGTGTGGCCCATTTCATCAGGTCCAGCATCAGGGAAATACGTTTTCTGTAAGTTAACTGTTCCTTGCTTTGTAAGTGGACCTAAATGTGAGGTCCATCTAACATGAGATATTATTTCTGAATAGTTTTACTCTTGGCTGCAGCCTCTGCCATAAGAATAGCATATCTATTTGTCTTTTTTGAACTTCTTTTTTTTTCATTCAGTTTTCTACCTTCAGAATCCTGAAGAACTTTATTTTTTGTGTATTTCATCAATTTGTTTTCTGGTTTGTAAATTCAGCAAAACTTCCTTTGATGCTTTAGTATTATGTTGAACTCTGCCATCTGCATTTAATTCTATCTACAAAATAGGCCATATAGTTCATTTAATTTTCTGATAATTTCTTTATTATACACTAAAAGAAAAGTGTGCTATTATAAAATTAACTGATTTCTTCTGCCTGTGCAGCTTTTTAAGACAGCCTGACAAAGAAATTAAGGAACTAAGAAATATGTACATAAAAGTGTAAAAAGTAATGGGTAAAATTAAATGATAAATATTACTGAAGTGCTTTATACTTTCATTTATTTCTGAAAATTGAACTGGTTTTGAATTAATGCGCTGCCTTTAAAGAATTAAAACTACATTGCTTCTGTGGTGATATAGCAGAACTACAGTTTCACATTTCTGGCAAACCTGTCTGCAATGATTCTAGGAAATTATAAAGAAAGGAAATAACACAGTAAAAACATGCAGACTTAAGTCTTGGGATTCTCACAACAAAACTGCTCCAAAGGCCAATGACTAACTAGAACTATCCTGTTGATTACTTTGTATCTGGAGATAGAACCAGAACACGAACACTGCAACAACTCACACAACAACTGAAATCATCAGTTACACAGTCACAGTAATAGGTTTTCTCAATTAAATGTTTACATCACCTTCTACTTGGAGAACATCCTTCATCAATCAACTGATGTTTTGAAGTGTACTCTAAGACTATACACCATGGATGCTGTTATAGCATACCATTTCTAAGGACACCACAGACTGCACTACTGTGAGTAACAAGAACAGTTACAATAACCACATAAAACCCCAGGAAGCAAGAATAAAGCGTCTGTGCACACTGCATTATATGTTTCGGATATTATAGAATCATAAAATCATTATGGTTGGAAGAGACCTCAAAGATCATCAAGTCCAACCGTATACCCGATGCCACCACGCCCGCTAAACCATGTCTCGAAGCGCCACATCTAAACCTTTTTTGAACACCTCCAGGGATGGTGACTCCACCACCTCCCTGGGGAGCCCGTTCCAATGCCTAACGACTCTAACAGAGAAGAAGTTCTTCCTAATATCCAACCTGAACCTCCCGTGGTGCAACTTGAGACCATTTCCTCTTGTCCTATCGCTAGTTACCAGGGAGAGGAGACCAACACCCACCTTGCTACAACCTCCTTTCAGGTAGTTGTAGAGGGTGATAAGGTCTCCCTTCAGCCTCCTTTTCTCCAGACTAAACAAACCCAGCTCCCTCAGCCGCTCCTCGTAAGACTTTTTCTCCAGGCCCTTCACCAGCTTTGTTGCTCTTCTCTGGACACGCTCCAGCAGCTCAATGTCCTTCTTGTAGTGAGGGGAAAGTTACCATTGTTGAAAGGGGGGAAAACAAGAGGGGGAGAGTACAGCTTTTAATGCTAAAAGCTGTTGTGCTATAGGCAAACAAACTATGACCCAAGTGACTGATCTTGGTGTCTTCTCTTCATGTAAGGCACTAGCTCCTGCATCTTACTGAGGTCTCACAGCATAACTGTGCAACCCCTGTGCAAGAGAGTAGCTCCCTAATCCTTTCCTATCGAAACATGGCCTACTACACAGAGGCAAGAAGCAGCTATCCTACTGCTACAAGCCAGGCAGTATCTTGCAGTTTCAGTCAGGTTTATGCAAGTACAAAGAGGCACTGATGTACCATGCTTCTTGTAAATCACCTCTGCAGCACTTGCAAAAACTCAGCAAGAACCACTGTCCATGAGAGGCAGCTGATTGCCTCTGTCCTGCATCTCCATGAGGCTGCAACTATTCCCAAGTACCAGTAAGGATCAGCAACTGCTTGCCAAAGAATTGGCATAACATTGAGTATCACTCTGTTTCAGATCCTGCTAGGTATGAACAGTATATTATGTGCTGGTTTTGAAACACATTTCAGAAATAATCATCTGCTTTAGTTTACTGAAGACTGCTAGCAAGCCCTTAACAGTTCAGCATCAAATTAATATCAAGATTCTTTGTAAAGATGTACCTTGTACATGGTTGTATCCTCTACACTTTGAGCATTTAACATCTTCTTTAAATCGTCTCCACCTGAAAGGAAAGTGAAAGATAGAAAGAAACCAGAATTGAAAAGAGACCATAATTCTTTACTTCACATATATACTACCTTGTGTCAACAATCTTGTGTATAACAGTACTTACCACATTTAGCTATCCACAAAAATAATCAAGCCATAACATATCAATATATAAAATATATATTAAAATCTTGGAGTCTGATCTTTGTTGCAGATGGCATCTTGTACAAATCAAGACAGGTGAGAGTGAAGTATGACACTATGCTTCCAAATTTTTTTTGAGGATTAGTGACCTGAGCAATTCTTTTTGAAACTTAGAGAAGCTGCTAAACTTCCCTAACTTCCAACAGGCTGCCCTGATCCCCAAGAGACCTTCCTGAAGCCAGTGATGGTGGGATGATAGCCTAGC